CTCTGTGCATATTCAAATAACTTCCTTTATTTTCCTCTTTCCTCTGTGTTTTGACCCAGATGTTTAGGATCTTTGCTCAGAACTTTGTTCTCGTGTTGTGATTTTGAGCAAGGGCACTTTAATGGTGTTGGTGAATTTTAAAGAGTGCAACTGGGACCTAAACCAATAATAAGGTGTTTGGCCCCTATGCATCTCATATCCTAGAACCAAGACAATTGGATTTTGAATCAGACAATTTACTACAAATTCATGCCATCTTGTCATGGAAGTCGCCCACCCCTAGTTACATTGTGTATTCACTGGAAAATAATCCTTGAAATTCTCTTCCTGTGCTTTGCAGATCCTGGTCTAACAGTTTTTGCCGAGCTTGTGTCCTGTGTTAAAAGAACACTTGCTCGTATCTTGGTCATTATTGTCAGCATGGGGTTTGGCATTGTCAAGTGAGTAATATTTTCTAGATTCGTTCCCTCCATCAACGCTTTTGTTTACCTTTGTCAGCAGTCACTTGACTCCTGTTTTATTTTTCTTTATTGTAGACCCCGACTGGGTACAACTCTTCATCGAGTGTTGGGAGTTGGAGCCTTGTATTTCATTCTTGCAACTATCGAGGGATCCTTCAGATCGCTTCATGTAAGTCTTTCTAGTGCAAAGGTTTGAACAGTGAGCTAAGCTTATTGCTATGGTCATATGGTATTAAGTTAATATTCAGCTAATATTTATTTCTTTGTATCATTTGCAGCCCAAATCTGATCCTGGTAGACAGCAGCTGATTGTCAGTATCCCACTTGCTGTTCTGGATGTTTCTATCTGCTGGTGGATCTTCATGTCCCTGGTTCAGACCATGAGAACCCTTCGCATCAGAGGTGACCTGGTGAAACTTTCGCTCTACCGACACTTCACCAACACCCTCATCTTTGCAGTATTGGGTAAGCCTGGTTTTGGCTTGTCATTGTGTAGATGATAGTAGTCCTCACTCACTTTAATAAGCCTGTTTGCACCACTTACATGTAGGGCCCCAGGGGTTTCTCAAATTAAACAAGTTTTAACCAGGTGGCCTGATCGACCCTTAGCCTATCCCCCAACCTGGAGGGCCAGGAGCTGTTCTTTGTCAGTCCTCTCTGCTCGAACAATCCGGCATGGTTTTACTTACCTGGCGATAAAGCACCATCTCCCATACCGTAGAATTCCGAAAGCAGCCCCTCTCCACCCACCCCCTCCGCCCCGAAAGTAACAGCTCCCCGAAAGCAACTTTAATTTTATTAGTGAGCACCTATTAGTGAGCCATATCTGAAGCGACTGTGAATTACCGTACGAACGTAACCAAAAGTAACCATCTGAAAGTAACGGCTACCCGAAAGTAACAGGGAGCGTTACTGTCAGAATTCGATGCTAGCTCTTAGAATCAGTAAGACCTTTAAAATAAGTGACGTTACCTGGGTGGAGAGAGAATTTTATTCTCAAAACAACTTATAAATTTTTCTTGCTCTTTTTCATACTCGATNTAATAAGCCTGTTTGCACCACTTACATGTAGGGCCCCAGGGGTTTCTCAAATTAAACAAGTTTTAACCAGGTGGCGTGATCGACCCTTAGCCTATCCCCCAACCTGGAGGGCCAGGAGCTGTTCTTTGTCAATCCTCTCCGCTCGAACAATCTGGCATGGTTTTACTTACCTGCGATAAAGCACCAACTCCCATACCGTAGAATTCCGAAAGCAGCCCCTCCCCGCCCACCCCTCCGCCCCGAAAGTAACAGCTCCCGAAAGCAACTTTAATTTTATTAGTGAGCACCTATTAGTGAGCCTTATCTGAAGCGACTGTAAATTACCGTACGAACGTAACCAAAAGTAACCATCTGAAAGTAACGGCTACCCGAAAGTAACAGGGACCGTTACTGTCAGAATTCGATGCTAGCTCTTAGAATCAGTAAGACCTTCAAAATAAGTGACGTCACCTGGGTGGAGAGAGAATTTTATTCTCAAAACAACTTATAAATTTTTCTTGCTCTTTTTCATACTCGATTCATTCGTGCACTCGTTGATTTAGTGTAAAATAATTCAATTAGCCTGTATGTTGTTTAATTTATAGCATCTGTGGCATATATGATTTGGTCAATCAAGACTCACAGATTTGCCAAGAATGGTTGCATTACAGTAAGTGTGCTACAGTGCTGTTAGTAATAATACGGTCAAATAGTGTCATGCGTATTATTTTGTACATGTAGCAGTTCATTTTGTTAGCAATGCAAGCTAACTGACTGTGCTCTTGGAAAGGGATTGAGGAGGGCCTTACTCATTTCTAATTTTCAAGCGTCCGAAATATTTACAGTGCAGTATAAAACTTTTAAATAGCTCCAAAGTGGCTAGTTTTCTTTATGGAGCGAGCTCTAGTTCAGACACTGCGTAAGATACGTTACAGCTTGACCGAATTTTTCTTATTTCCCTGTCGTTGTAACTGTAAAACCTTAAGGGTGCAGCCGTATAGCTATCATTTTTACAGATTTTGTTTCAGTCCGGAGCGTGTTTTGCAGCTGTAAATTTACGTTAGCTATCTTTTAGCAAAGTGTCCGAAATTTTTGTCCGAAATTTTTGTCCGAAATTTGTCCAAAGCGGAAATACAAGTGTCCGAAATTTGTCCGAAGCGGAAATACAAGTGTCCGAAAATAAAACGGGCGAAATTTTTGGCAAGTAATTATTATTACTTCCCAACAGCATCGTGAATATTTCCACGGAATAATTTCTTTGCATTTCCCACAGAATTGGTCTGAATTGTGGCTGGATGAAGCTTTCTGGCAGTTCTTGTTCTCTATTGTCCTGCTTGTGATTATGGTTTTGTGGCGACCCACTGCGAACAACCAGAGGTAAGTGGGTGGCATACGATGCCATGGAGAATTCCTGTGCCTACGAGACCTCATAATGGTAATAAAGAAACGTATGTTTACCCAGGCTAGATGGCAGAGAGCTTAAGCAATGTCGACGGCAACCCCGAGGACAACTCGTTGTAAAAAATTAAGACCGAGTTTACCAGAGGACCAGGCAGGGGTGATACATGCCATCTCTCCTTTTTGGATGAAACTTTGCCAGATTGAAGGTACTACCCAACAAC